TATCAGGTTGAAATTTTTTCAACCCCATCAAATCAACTCTACATATTGACATGTGAAAACAGTGTTTCAGCATTAAGTTCACTGAGTTTGCTCTCCAGGGGCCTTCTCATCAATCCTCTGGCCTATCTTCCAGTAAATGCCAATGAACCAACCAGTAAATGCTGATGGGCCAAGCATGCCAAATAGAATGAGCTAATGTTAGAAGACACAACATACATCCCCTGTCAAAGAGGCTAATAATATGCTAAAATATACTTTAGGCATAATTGTCATCTCAAACAATATCAATGAAGACAAAACAATTTTTCTTACTTTAAATCAACATAAAAGTGCAGGTAGAAGTGCTATATTTTTTTCTAAATAAGTATATACTCTATTAGGAAAGTAGAAAAATAATGTTCATTACAGTACTCAGCTATCGTGAAGGACTTGGATTTCTATGAGAAAAGTCCTATAGCACTCAATCAAAATATTTGATTCACCTTTATCTACCTCCCACTGATAGAAATGAAAAAGATAATGACTTGTGAAATTTCACTTACCTGAGTTGGCTGAGGGAAAACAATTATTGGAATACAAAAGCTATCGAGCAACTGTGGGCTAACTATTCAATAAGCAACTTCCAAGATAAAATATGCAATACAGCATCAATAAATGTCAGTCTGTAACCAAAGTAACAAAAATAGTCCAAAATTTTTTCTATTATAATATGATTCAATCCATTTTGCTACCACTCTTCTCTTTACAAAGCAACTGGAAGAGACCCAATGTATCAGTCTTCTCAAATACACTGGATAGGCAGAGACACTTGATCTGTTTCATTGTCACTAGTCTAGCTCTTAGGGTTTAAAAGATATCTGATTTATCTATATTTGTGTCACTAGAACTCATGTTAATTGAACTCCTTGAACTGTTTTCCAAGCAAAGGGTCATACCCAAAGAAAGTTTTCCAAAGGAGGGCATACACATGCAAAAAGATGTTGCCAGATTTTCCAGAAAGATTGCAGCCATGCTGACTTGGTTTTAATCCAAAGAGACCCATTTTAGATCTCTGATCTCCAGAATTACATGGTATAGGATAATAAATTTGTGTTGATTTTAACGCACACGTTTGTGGTAATTTGAACAGCACCAGTAGAAAGTTCTTGAGTTACACACACACACACACACACACACACACACACACCTACCTAAAAGAGAGCCTGCCAAAAAAATAGAAAGTTATTAATTGGCAGTTGTCTTTCAATATATGATTTACTAAAAAAAATACCCACAATTATGAAGTTATCACTATCACTTGCTGACATTAAAAAAACTTAGTATATACAACCTATTAAGATTTCACACAAATAATGAAAACAACAGCAAGTTAATAAGCGAGTAAAAGAACTCCTGCAAATAATTTGGAAAAGAACAAATATAAGTGGCTAATAAAATATGAAAATGTTTCAGATGAATAAAACTATTGTAAATTAAATAAATGAAGAGATGTAATTTGTGTATTATATTGGCTATATTTTTAAGGATATGACAAAGCAAGCATTATCATTCACTGCTATAGTAGGATAAAATGGCACATCTTAGAATCAGATAATCCAAAATTCGGAAAAAGTATTAATATTCATCATAATAGTTTTTATAATAAAAAAAAGTGTTCAATAATAGGAGGTTACTTAAATACATAATCATATATAAATTATGCTAATACATGTAGTTAGTAATAATTAAGCTTATGAAAAGTATTGATGTGGGTCAGAAGACTATAACCATGGCATATAGCAACTATGAGAAAAATAATTGGAAGAAAATTCATTCAGAAGTTTTTAGTAATAGGATTGTAGGCAATTTCTTTCTTCAGCATGCGACTGGTTTATTAAATGAGCTGGACTTGGTAGAATACAATTAAAAGGCATTTTATTCTTTTTCCCACTATCCCTTCAAGTACAGTTTCTGGCTATCAGTTTATTATCTCACTCTTTGTATGACATTTCAGGCAGAACTTATAGCTCTTTTGGTCCCCTGTAGATATTAAAAGGCCCAGCCCATAATATCAAAAAGATAAGAAATAAAAATGTTGCAGAGGCCCTAGCTGGTTTGGCTCAGTGAATAGAGTGTCAGCTTGTGGACTGAAGAGACCCGGGTTCAATTCCAGTCAAGGGCGCATACCGTGGTTGCATGCTTAATCCCCAGCCCTGGTTGAGACGCCTTCAGAGGCAACAAATCAATATGCCTCTCTCACATCAATGTTTCTTTCTCTGTGTTTCATCCTCTCCCTTCCACTCTCTCTAAAAATCAATGGGAAAATATCCTCTGATAAGGATTAACAACAACAACAAAAGATGTTGCAAAGGATTTGGAGAAAAGGGAACCTTCATACACTGTTGGTAGGAGTGTAAATTGGTACAAACACTATGGAAAACAATATGGAGATTTCCCCTAAAATTAAAGATAGAACTATCATATGATTCAGCTATTTCACTCTGGGTATTTATCCAAAGAATATGATAACACTTATTTGATAGCACTATTATGATAATATTAATTCCCAAATTCATTGTAGATTATTTACAATAACCAAGATATGGAAACAACCTGTGTCAATTGATGGATGAATGGATAAAGAATGTGAGATAGATGATAGATAGATAGATAGATAGATAGATAGATATAATATTACTCTGTCACAAAAAAAGAATGAAATCTTGCTAATGCAGCAAAATGGATGGACAGCAAGGATATTATGCTAAGTGAAATAAGTCAGATGGAGAAAGACAAATATATGATTTCTTTATTCACACGTGGAATTAAAAAAAAATAATTCTAGATACAGAGGACAAATTGGTGGTTACCAGAGAGAAAGACTTTGCAGGAGAGTGAAATGTGTAAAGGGGTCAATGATATGGTGTTGGATGGTGACTAAACTTTTGCTGATGATCATTTGTATAGTATACAGATGTCTAATGATAATATTGTACACCTAAAACTTATATTGTATTTCAACTTTACTTCAATTTAAAAAAAATATATTCAGCCCAGCCAGTGCAAACTCTCCTCTACTTAAACTCTCCTCCTCAGCCTGGGTCTGAATTCAATGTGCAGATCATCAGTGAGGAAAGGACCCCTCACTGTTTCTCTCTCTTCTCACTTCACTTCTCTCTGTTGGGTTATTCCAGAGACAGAGTGAAAGGAGGGCTCATGGAGAAGAGATAAGGAACAGCTCTTACATGGCTGGTTCAGTTGTAACCCAGCAGAATTTGCTCCCTGGGTGTAACAGATTCCAATTGAAGCTCTTCCTTTTGTAGGTGCTTCTGTGGGTTCTTCAAAACTCACCCGAGCCGTTCTTTAGGCTCCTCACTTGGTTTTCTGGATGATCAGCGTCTCTAGCTGGCCACTTGACAGTCTTACGCATCTTCTATATACTAAGTAGCAGTACCGGTCTTCTGAGGCCACCGGCACAGCCAGCTCTCTCCAAAAGGCTTTACCTGCCAAGCTAAGGGCATGCATACACCTGACCGGCCATGCCTGCTCAGCCCTATGTCTGCACACACTGTCACCAAAGCACACTTAGCCATAGCCTTTCAACTTTTGACTTCTTCAACTGTGGATTAAGTGCCAAGCACCTGTGTTCCCCAGATTGCAAGAAACTTGTCAAACCCCCCATGTTTCTGTTTTTCTGAAATACCCCCTCACTTGGTTTGGATGAGAAAAGGCACCCCTTGTGGTGAAAAGACCTTTCAGTGCTCTGGCAAATCTCTCTATATAAGTTCTTCTCACTCTAACCTTTCACCCTCTAAGAGATTTCGTGGCCTTTGTCTAGACCGTGGTCAGCAAACTGCGGCTCTCAAGCCACATGCGGCTCTTTGGCCCATACTGAAGGGCTCTTCCACAAAATACCACAGCCTAGATGAGTCTATTTTGAAGAAGTGGCATTAGAAGAAGTTTAAGTTAAAAAAATTTGGCTCTCAAAAGAAATTTCAATCGCTGCACTGTTGATATTTGGCTCTGATGACTAATGAGTTTGTCGACCACTGTCTAGACAGTCTAAAGCTGGTTATGAATTCAAAGTCCTCATCTACTTGGGCAATCACAAACACCAGTTACATTATTCTTTGCATTCAGCCTTTGATACTGGGACTGTCTGAAAAGTTTCCTTTCCAGTGCTATTTTATAAGGAGAAGGAGGAACAGACTTTAACAATGGAGAGAAAGGCAAGAAGACAGACTCTATAACAGCTATAGGTATCTCTTTTTCATCAAAGTATTTATAGAAGTAATTTTAAACTAAACTAGATTCTATGACAATTTTGTCTTCCAAGAATTTCAGTGTCAGTGGCTCCATAGAATAAAAATTGTCTTCTCAATATAAGTGGGAGAGAAAAACACAATGTTGAAAGCCAGAAAACACCTGCATTTATTCTTTTAACTACTAGTGTCCAAAGTATAAATGATCTCATCTATTATATTTCATTACTAATACCTGAAAATTAATGCATTTCATTATGATATAATTAACAAAACATGGCATTTAAATAGAATTTACATTCTCTGAGCATTTTAAATGGTTCAGTAGATGATTAATGTTTAATTTATAATTAATATATTTTTATTCCTTTTTTGTTATTAAACCTTGAAATAGTTGTAGTAATAATTAATGAGTGCAGCTACAGATTGCTCTAAAAAGAGTCAAAACTTTAAAATATATGTTCTGAATAACCTGTGGCGATCTTAAATATGAGACCTATAAATCCCAAATCAAAATCTAAGTGAAATACCTAGAAATTGGTTTTTCCCCATTCTTGTATACTTTTTTTAGAAAGCTATTAAAGCTGGGTAGAAATTAAAAACCTCCTTAAAATCACAGCTATTAAAAACCAAGGTTTTTTCCTATTATAAATTCATAAACGTTACTGCCATATATTATTTTTCTATTGGATTATATAGGCTCTTTAATTATGGACGTTTGGATTAGGTTCTGAAAGTATTTTTTTCTCTCCTTTGCAGTTGGTTGGTTTTGTGTATGCCTGTTATGTGATCAGTATTTTCATGGAAGAAGAGGATACCTGTAAGTATTGATACGTCTCCCTGTAGGTTGATTTTGGATGAGATATAGCTCCCAAAACTAATCATTCCAGGGCTATGAAATCATTCCCATTTAGAATTGAAAATGACTGAATTCACCATCGTAAAGTTACAATCAAGCATATATAAGCCAAGCACTCAAATCAGGTGGCACTGAGTATTGAAACTCTCAACCCAAGCTGTATTGGAAGCTTCCCAGAGACACAGAAGCCTACAGATGGCTGTCACATCATGTCTTTTCATCAGAGACCTAAATAGTATGCTTAGGAAATTCAGGGTTGCTTTATCCATCACCGCTGTACATTTGTTGGCTGCAGAATTTTGAAATCTGACTAATAGCAGTGACATCAATACAATAATACTCATTATAGCAAGCTCTATATGTATATACACCATATAAAATGCTCTGAGAAAACTAAAGATGACAACCTTCTAGGCAAAACGTAAAAAAAAAGGGGGGGCGGGGGGAGAGCTGCTGAAAAAGCTAAGCAATCACATTTTAGCAGGAACACACACACAAAAAAAAAAAAAAAGAAAGAAAAATCCTATATAACCTGAAAAGTAATATAGGCAGATATTTTGCAACATAGGTCAACCACTGGCATTTCTTAAACACCTACCTGCTATGTATAAGGCACTTCTTGGCACAACTCAGACATGGGCTCACATAATACCAAAGGAAATTTTAATTTATTTAAAACTAGTAATTATTACACATACCAGATATTTGGCTATATCATTGCAGTTACTGTCTGGCTTGTAAAGTTGACTCTTTAACAAAATGAGGGTAAGTTTCTAGCTAGCCATATAACTTTCTAGAACACAACTCCAAAGGAGTCTGATGAATACTCCCCACCAAACAGAGGTAGTGCATGATACATAAACTGGAAACCAGTTGGCAATAAGCTCTCACCTCAATTTATTTGACCAAGTGGAATAAATATTAGACCCTGGGAAGAAACCCATCAGGCAGTGAAAACATGCAAACAAACTGCATCTTATCTGTTATGCTTGCCTTGGGGTATTTTTTATGCTGGATGAGCCAGCAAGTTTCTGACATTTCGAAAGTGCAACTGTAATGGCAACACTTCCCACTATGAGGTTGAACGTCAAAAAGTCGACCCTTGGGAGTTCCATTAGTAGTTAATTCTACAGTCTGACAATGGTAACGTATAAGAAGTCAGCCAAAACACAACTGGATGAGTATGAACAGTTTTAACTGCAATTGGGATCCAAAAAAAATGATTAGAATTAGGGATGAATAAATACTTCAGAAATTGAAACACTGAATGATAAATCTCAATTAAATCCCAGGTGATACTTTTGAGTAGGTATTGAAAGAACTTTCTTTCTCTTCTTCTCACTGAATTGGTTGGAGGCTCTCAAACAATTCGAATGTTCTGTCCTGCCTTTTTGAGTGTGAAAGGGCAGAATAATCTAGTCTTTATTATCTAGAATAAATATAGAAAGGACTTTTCTTTGAGGCCTGTGATTTTTTTTAAGTAAACCCGGAAAATGCAAAATGGCATGGATAATAAAAGGTTCATCTAAATTGAGTAAACGTTTTTTTTGACTTTCTGTCGGCCTTCTGGTAGAGAATTAATGTGAGTGTATATAGATTGTATGATGCTGGCAGATATTATAGTTCCATCGACTTTGGTGTCTTTAATTAGCTTAAGTTTCTCTATAGAAATCTCTGAATCAGCTATTTTAATACCCATCAAACTGGGATTGAAGCAGCTGCTGGCAGCCTTTTCCATTAACAGTTTAATTCTGGTGTTTGTTATTGGGGCCATGCATTAAGTTACCGAGAGACATCTGGATATAGTAGTTGTGTTGCCATCAATTCAAATAATACTTAGAGTCAGAAACTGAGTCTTGTGTGCTCAAAACAAAGTAAATATGCCCTCGACCAACCTGACATGATAATCTGCTGGAAGAGAGATGACAGTGAAAAGCAATCACAAACCTTTTAGTCTGATCGTTCTCAAGCAAGGGTAATTTTATATTCTTTTTATTGATAGAAGTAGGAATCAAAAGTGCACTTGTAATTGAATTGCCCAGAGTCTCCAGAAGGCAGATGTGAGCAAAAAGAAATCTATGAAACCAATTGCAATGATCTCATAGACTAGTACAATTTGTGCCAACACTTAGCTTTTAGGTGCAATAATGAACTGCCCTTTGGATATGACCTTACCAGCCCACATCTAAGAAGACGTGTCTTTTGAATTGTTTTTCCAAACGTAAAACATAAAATAAGAAAACAATCCTGCTAGCTTTCCAATTTGTCTAAGTACACTTCTGGAAAGCTTATTCTGAAAGGTAACTGCAAATATATAATGTAATGTCACAGTATTTTGGCAGACAATATATTATTTATCATTTCCTATTCCAACTAATGAAAATCTCTGCATTATTCAGAATGCAAAGTTAAGCCTTGCTCTTGGACTGAAAGCTGTCAGCCAGCCTGAAAATTAATAACAGCTATCTGCTTTTCTCCTCTGCACTGCTAAGTGCTTCTATGGGACTAACATTTCAGTGATGGACATTTCTGAAAGGTCCTAAATGCCTGAGGAAACATTTATTTCCAGCCACCCATCTTCTTAGTTACTTCTCGGCTTCTTTTGCTATTTCCCACAAAGACCATGATAGCAGGTCAAAGAGAAGAAGAGCTCACCAAAGGAAGAGTGCTGATGAGTGGGGTCAATACTTTCTATCATTCATTTTCATGAAAAATCTACTTATATATCTTTTTTTATTTCTTTTTAAAATATCTATCAATCTCCATGTATACTTTTTTGAAGCCAGGATATTTAGAATGTGTAATCACAAAAACCTGTCAACATCTTGTTTGTGAATCATCTACGGTACTGCTGAAAATGAACTTGTGGGCTTGATCTATCTTGTCAAATTTACTAAAAAGAATGTTTTCATTCAGGAAGATGTGGAGGTGAGGTAAAAGATGCTGAAAAGGGTATTAATTTGTGCAGTTATAAATATTGCCAGGCTATTTCAGAGGGTCTATTGCTAGCATGACTCCTTCTATGCCAACTTGCCAATTACAACTCGAACATCTGTTTGGACTCATAAAGGCCAGTCTGGGTTTTAGATATTGAATGGTGGAAGAAAAGTATATTGAAAACCCTACCAGTTTTAAAAAGAAAATGAACCCCCACATGTGGGTTCAATATTTTGCATTGCATAGCTCAAAGTAGCTCTCTTTGTGCAGTAATCTGACCCTTTCTATTCTACTTTTTGGGAATTTTTCAGTGGAAGGAAGCATGACTATTGGAAAAATATTCCATATCTCTACTGCTCTGTGAGGCTTCCTGCAGACTAGTATTCATGTGTTTTCCTCTTTACCCATAAGTTCCTTTTAAAAGAATAAGGTGATATTACCATAGCAATGATGTGAATTAGGAATAAAAATAATCCCTATGTCCTCCTAAAAATTTAGCTTTGTAAAGGATGGAGAAGACAGAGAGCAGCAGAGTAACCCTGGCTGGAGGGGGAGGAGAGAAAGCAACAAAGGGCTGGATGATCCTCAGAATAGAAAATGGGTTGGTTGTCTTGTGAGCCTTGAAATATTTGCATATTTAAGGGTGGAGGAACAGAAGAATTTTCTGAGTCAAAAATGGAGAAAGGCATGAGATACTGTAAGATAAGCTTGATACTGTTGTCATAGTCACATTTCAAGAGTCATGGTATTTGTGCAATAAACCATTGAAAATCTCCTGGTTCTCAGAGAGTATTTCTTTTAGTAACCACATGGTGAGTTTCATGTAACTATACTCACCACAGTTCAGATATAGAACCTGTAACATTTCTCCTAATTTGCCAAGATGACTACCAAATAGCTACAAAAGTATTAGCAATTAGAATAGATCTGTGAGGGCAGGATCTTTACTTTGTTCCCTGGTAGAACCATAGAGCCTGGAAAAATGCTTAACATCCAATTAGGAAATGTTTGTTGGGTAAATATGTTAAATGTATTCTCTTGGCCTAGCAACTTATTTTTCAAAATGTATTTCAAGAACCCGAGATTTTCAAATCTAACGAAATGACTATGTCTTGTGTTTAGAATTTACTGAGATGCCTGAGGCATTTACAAATATTTATGTTTGGCAAATAGAAGTCCTGTATCTCTTAAACATACCGTATTTTTCGGACCATAAGACGCACTTTTTTTCCCCCAGAAGTGGGGGGAAAAAGTCCCTGCATCTTATGGTCCAAATATAGCCTACATATATACTTTAAAAAAAAAAGATTTTTTATTTGCCCGGCTCTGTGTGGTCTCTGTGTGCTTGCCCGGCTCTAAAATGGTTCTAAATGCTGCTGTTTACTTTACAGGGTTGATTACATGTGTTTATGACTGTGATGTTGGGTTTTAATGCACATAAAATATTTTAGGACACTATTTGTTTCAGAATCTTTTTTTCTTCATTTCCCTTCTCTAAAAACTGGTGCATCTTATGGTCCGGAGCGTCTTATGGTCCGAAAAATACGGTAAATGGATAGGAATTTTGTAATTTAGAATGTCAAGATATAGGAAAATGAATTAAACCTCCACTATACCACATCAGAGCAAGAGCCTGTCAATTCCTGGACAAGACATCTCAGAGGGATCAGGATTTGGAAACTAGGTGCATTCACAGAGTGAATCCCAGTGCAAAATATGGCCAATATTTCCCATTGTCAAAGAGTCAGGCCTGACAGGGTGGTGATTTTGGCCAGCTCACACAAGGGAAAGTTGAGCAGCACAGAATAGGATCCTAGCTACAATGTTATGATTCAGAGATAGACTTCCAGTCCTTTGATAGGTTATCAAGACAGTTTCTCAAGAATAATATTATAAACACCCAAATACCCAAAACAGTGAACACATGGGGATTTCCACAGGGGCAAGACAGAGAGCCCCTTTTCTAGAACCAGCTCCAAAGTCAGCTCTGTACTCACAGTGAAAGGGAGCCTAGACGAATGCCT